GGTGTGTGGGCTGACGGGGAGTACCGCTAATATGATAGATGGGTCGGTCCCATATGGGCTGCTGAGTGACTGAACTTTGGGTGGTGTAGACCGGGAATACCTGATCCCCACTACCGGAGCTGTCGCTACAGTTCCCGTCGTTGGTGTCGCACTTGAGGGTCGAGCCGTGCGTTGAGGGCATTGTATAGGGAGTTGTGGCTGTCGGGGGTCGTGTGATGTACACCGGGGTTATGAGCTCATCACCCGAGCCCTCCACTTCACGGCAATTGTCCTATTGTTGTCATCGCAACAGTAGTTAAACATTATATTCTTATAAAACCTGCCAAACCTCCCGTACCTCATCATCATCGTAACAGCCGGCCCCGGAGTATATTACGTCATCCGTGGCATAGCTAACGGAGCTATTGGGCTATGGATTGATACAATTAGTGATACTTTTTAATCAGAAATGTATTGTCACTGAAAACCTCGCTCAACGTCCAGACCATAGGCTTTTGTACGGATGTATTGAATAGTATAAACAGAATAAGTCTTAAATTCATTGATAGTCTCTAATTAGTTGTCGAGAATACACGGAATCATTAAAAAAGTATTTAAGAAACACCGGGGAAAAGGGGGACAGTATGACAGTGGCATAGATGATGATGGTGTTTGTGCTGTACTTTCGTAGGGAAACACTACTTGAAAAATACTTTACAAAGTTATACAAATACTTTGTATTCAAAGTTTTGTTACTCAATGAATGCAAACTTTTATGGACTGAACGGTATATGTACAGTAGGTTTGATAAGATATATAGGGAACCGGTAGTTAAAACTTCTTCAATGGGTAGATAGCCTTCAGACTACTGGACCTATGGTTTTGAATGGTATGTCTACTACCAGGTATAGTACAGGTATAGACGATTATGTAAAATAAATGAATTTTAATGATTAACCAAATTCTGGTTTTATGTAAACGTATGTTAATGATAGGGTTGACTGTTTTATAAAACATTAACCATCGCTCAACCTTGCTAATTATAATTATAATTATCAAAATCGTGTTATTAAATAAACTCCGAGTAATTTGTTAAATAATTTTTTATTTTTCAAATTATTACTCTTATTGACAAAATTGTTACAAATATATTCAAATGAGACAAAAAATACAATTATAATTATTAAATAATATACAAATTATTCTATAAATTAATCAAAAATTCATTTTGTTTTGTTTTTTGTCATTTATATATATTAGAAAAATGTATAATTAATTACATAATAAAAATCTAAACAATTATATTATTTTTCAAATAATATACAAATTATTCTATAAATTAATCAAAAATTCATTTTGTTTTGTTTTTTGTCATTTATATATATTAGAAAAATGTATAATTAATTACATAATAAAAATCTAAACAATTATATTATTTTTCCTCATCATTTCATGTGTGTTTTGATATCGTTTTGTACCCAAAAAACAATGGATTTTTTTCAGTTACCAAATAATCGCATATAAAAAAGAGAGAGAAAATTATTGACAAAAGACATGATTATTAGGAGCAAAAAATGAGTTCAATTTTCCGGCGATTAATTCAATTAATTAATGACTTAAATGATTGTCAATTATGTTTGTCATGTGTGTTGAATACAACTGATAATTATTTTTGTTTTTCGTAAAGAATTGACAATTAATTTATTGGTATTATTTGCTATACATTGCAGACAATTAAGAGTTTTATATATTTTTTGTTTAATTTAATTCTTTAATTACATGTAATTTTAATAATCATTTGTTGCATTAATTCATTATGTTTTTAATGATTTCACGTTTTAATTCAGAGATTCTGTAAATGTTTTTCAATATTTTATTTTAAAAATAAAAATTAAGATATTTTTCACCTCCTTTTTTTGTTACATTTGATTTCCGATTGTGACATAAAATTCAATTCAATTTAATATACGTTTAAAACATATTATTTACTCAAATCTAAACGCATATCAACTGAAAGTCAATTGTCATTTGTAATTACATTACATACAAATGTATTATGATTTACACTCTCAAATAGTTTTTCAACTTAAAATTGATCCTAAATTTGTTTTTGTATTGTATTAAGTCTCGAAAACTATTTGCGAATTAAATCCATAACCATAACTATAAGTTCATAATATCTGGTATTTTATACACCTTTGGCTTATTAGGGATAAGTCCGCACACAATGTATTAATTTGTATTAATTGTTTTAAATTTAAATACAAGCGTTTGTTATACAAAACTAAATATTCAATTAAATCAACTAATATTTTGATGCCTTACGACTTGATTATATTAATTACAAATTATGTTTTATTTCCTAATCAATCAGTGATTTCAATAAAATATTTAAAATTGCATTACAAAAACGTGTGATTATA